TCCCTCGGCCCTTAAAGGGGAAAGGTTGCCTACCCCTGAACTAGGCTGATCTGTTAACATCCAGGAGTGAGACTATGCTCTATGCTACTTTGAATATGTATTCCTGTATAGCAGGGGGTTGGACTGGATGGTCCTTATGGTCTCTTGCAACTCTATGATTCTCTGAGTAAATAGACTGAAGTCTATGAAAGCTCATGCTGCCAATTTCTTTCTCAAAGGTGCTACAAGAACTCTCTATATACTGATTCAACAGACTAACACAGCTATATCTTTGACTTCAATGATTCTATGATTTTATATTGGGGGAGGCAGCTATGGAAGGCTAGGGGGGCATATTAGGCCTCTAGGAGTCATTGGAAGGTTGCACCTGCTCCCACAAAAAAAAAAAAAAATCAATAATTGTGTGCTCTCAAATGCCTAAGGGTTATAGGGACATTTTTGCCATGCCCTAGGTTTCAAAAAAGGCCTAACTTGGGCCTAAACTGATCAAGATAATAATAATAATAATAATAATAATAATAATAATAATAATAATAATAATAATATGATTTATTTATATACCGCCCCTCTGGATAACCAATAGTGCCCCACAGAATATCATGGAAATGTAACTTATACCCTCAGTGAACATTTTTGGGCATTTCAGAGAGATTTTTTTATTTTATTTTTTTGGAAAGATTGTTTTTGACCCCTGAAATGTGGTATAAATTCCCTCCAACCCCCTAGAGCAGGGGTAGGCAACCTTTCCCCTTTAAGGGCCGAGGGACTTCAGCTCCCAGAAGCCTCAGCCATGTTGGCCAATAGTCCCATGTTGGCCAATAGCTCCTGGGATTCTGGGAGCTGAAGTCCCTCAGCCCTTAAAGGGGAAAGGTTGCCTACCCCTGCCCTAGAGTGCATTGGGGGGGCATTCAGGAACAAAAGAAATTGGACCCATGGGGACCACCAAAATGGTCCATGGGCTATATCGTACCCATCTCATTCTATAATAACCTGACAATGTACACTTTCATATTATCTCACAGAATGTACCTTGGAAATGTTTTGGGGCTACAGCATGGCTGGACTATTCCAAAATGTGCTCTGAAAATGTAACATATCCATGCTCTGCAATTAGGAAAGTCCAATAGTGACTTAATGGACACAGCGAACACTGTGCAGCTTGTTGATCAGATGCTAAATGATGTGCAGAAAACTCAAAATAAATATTTACACATTTCCCACGAAGGAGGAATCTTTTCTTTCTTTTTAACATTTCTCATCCGTATCTGAAAATAAAGGAAGCTGAGAAAAGCATTGGGAAATTCCAGTTGACACCCACTTTCTCTAATAAATACATCTGCAAATGAAACACAGTCTTCTTCTATATACTCCCAGTGATGCCATGCCTCCTCTCTATCACCAATGATAGTGTAAGAGATTGGGAATGTTCCAGAAAAACAATTCCTGCTGAGGTTGCCTGTGGATCGCATCATGACGCTGATCATTTAAATGGAATTCATGGAGGGCTTTATAATTCCAAACTGTTTCAATGCCTTTTTTACCCTGATTACTGCCCATGTCACAAACCACAAGGATTGCCTTAAAATAACAAAAAACCAAGAAGATTCACAATGAGTCTTCCCCTCCCCCTACCTCTCCTTTTAGCAATGATTTGCACCGTTAGTAATTTCTCTTACAATTTAAATAATTCTTGGTTGACTGAACAGATTTGTTTAGAAGCGAGTCCAACTGGATAATTTACTGCAAAAGCAAGATACATTCCCTTGCCTCACTCAGCGACTACAGAAATTCTTGTAAATCAGATGGATAGAGTGGAAGTTTAAAAAAAATTCATTAAAAAGTGGCCCACAGCAAGATTAGGAACAATAAGAGGCTGTGTAGTTTGGCAGCTAAGTGTGTGGTTCTGGATGCCACAAATTAAAAAATCTCAATTTCCCCACAAACTCACTACTATAGGCAAATCAATATCCTTCAGCCTTTAATGTACATTGTTTCCAAACCTCTGTTTTCACATGCCAGTAGAAAAAGAGTTTCTATACAAG